ACGGCAAACGGCAAAAGTTTCAAAACTTTTGACTTCAAACTTTTGCCTTCTGTTTCCTGTTTTTGTTGTTTTATTGATTTAGAATTAAAGGAGTCTGAAAAAGGAGACAAAATCGAAGACAATTTTTGTCGTCTACGTTGTCCGTGCGTTGAACGTGTTAAATTCTCCATTAATTGTGGGCATTGTAACGTGGGCTTTGTGTGCTAACTATTCTTCTTCTATTCTTAGTTTCAGAACGTTAGAATTTTCATATAGTGATAAACTTTTAAAATAAACTTGAACATTAAAATATACGTTGGTATCGTTTGGCTCGCGATCACTTATACCGCAGTTCGGGTGTTTAACAGTTATTTGACATTACAGTGAATGAATATTTTATTGACCTGTTTTTTAGGCGAAGAAAAGTGACAAATTTCACGGTAGATGAACACATTTTGAAGTTTATTCCAGGGACTAACTTAACTCATTTTCCAAGCTAGAGTAATTAAGACTGTGTTAAGCGGACATCCTTGGAGAATGCCCCAGTGTCAATACCAGGCATTATGTACCGAGAGATCCTCTCTTCCATGAGGGCGAGAATTCGCCAATAATATCTCAGACAAAATCTTCAAGCCTGGTTAGGTCACCGTGCAACTCGCCCGCTTGTCGTATAATGGCGGGAAGAACGTCTTCACTCTATGTACATTCGAAGACGTGTCGGATGATCTCAGAAAAATTTTTTATCGAATATTTTATCAGNCAGTTCGGGTGTTTAACAGTTATTTGACATTACAGTGAATGAATATTTTATTGACCTGTTTTCTAGGCGAAGAAAAGTGACAAATTTCACGGTAGATGAACACATTTTGAAGTTTATTCCAGGGACTACCTTAACTCATTTTCCAAGCTAGAGTAATTAAGACTGTGTTAAGCGGACATCCTTGGGGAATGCCCCAGTGTCAATACCAGTCATTATGTACCGAGAGATCCTCTCTTCCATGAGGGCGAGAATTTGCCAATAATATCTCAGACAAAATCTTCAAGCCTGGTTAGGTCACCGTGCAACTCGCCCGCTTGTCGTATAATGGCGGGAAGAACGTCTTCACTCTATGTACATTCGAAGACGTGTCGGATGATCTCAGAAAAATTTTTTATCGAATATTTTATCAGTATCGATCATTCCCATTGGTTTTCTAAACCAATGTATAACAACGTCACACTGGTGATACATTTAATGAACCAAAGAACATGGAGGTTCCAAATAGGTGATGACTTCTAATTAGTAACACTCAGTGATATCACGAATCGATAAATTGAAATTTAACCTATTCTCTGCCCCTAAGTTCTTAATACCCCCTCAAAGAAAGGTTATTAGAACAACTTCTTAATATACATACGTGTTTAATATATTGTTAAATGGACGACAAAGTTCTTGCTTAATGTGTTTTTTCACAGTTAAAAGCCCCTTCTATCATCCTAGCTTAGGACCTGCTCTCGGAACCAAGCTTAATCCCTAATGAACCAAAATATTTTACAAAAGCTCCCTGAAGTCATAAGTAATGACCAAAGCAAAAGAAAAAACCAACAAACAAAGAAAAAAACGTTCGTAGAAAACGAAACTACAAGTGAAAGCCAGCAAGAAAATTATCAGACAAACTGCACTACCGCAACGAAACCAAGAACTTGACTTTCTAAAGTTCTGAGAATATAGATGGTTTTATGAAGAGCAACAATGTAGCACAGCAACATCAAAACGGGGATAAAAATTTCACATAACATTACAAATGAGTGCTTTCTAAAAATTTGCAATCATAGTTTTAATACTCTTTTAAGGTATCCCGCGCTCATTTCGCCAAAAACTCTGAGGCTATATAACATTTTGAGATGGTAAGACGGCAGGGTCCTTTACCCAAGATGCCTGTTGTGAATTTGATATAAATCCAACGAAATGTGAGACCAGTTGCCTGTACCAGTTGGGTGTATTAAATATTGCCACTGGCTAACACACCAGTCACAATAGTTGACACAAACTCAATGCTACCACCACCCTCCCACCCTGCGGCGTGGAAGATTCAACCAGCGTTGTGAAAAAGCGCGAGTTATAATATGTCGGCGTTGTTTGTTTGGATTCACCACGGTCTTTTTTAAAAATGTACCGTCGTTGCCATCAAAGCTCGTTCAGTTCATTGGTCAGGACTCGCTATAACATTTTTACTAAATAGATAAACGGTTTTCTGTCATTAAGAAAACCTGGTAAGTTTCCAGACTAAGAGGGAAATAATTCAGGGAGGAGAAAACGCTCAACTCTTGCCAATGTATCGCCCTTTAATCACATTATGCATTCTAAATACGAAAATCGTTTACAGCCTCTGTATAATAATAATATTAAAATCTCATTATATAATTATCTATGAGATCTTGTTGTAAGCTTAAGTTTCTGTCGTTATCCTTTTAGGTAGGCATCAACAACTTATTTTCAAAGAAGCTCCTTCAAGATTACTGACATTATAACATTGCCAAATAAATTTTACAACATAGATTAATAATTAAGGCTGTCATGGGTCCGTTTGATTACAAACATTGTAAATTAGTTATACCTGCAGACCGTACAAAGCATCCACTTAACTTCTCAAAACATTTCGGAAGTTGTTTGGGTGTCTGCAAGTAGAATCAAAACGTACAAATATTAGGTCCTAGATTTACCGAACTGCTTGTAAGCCTCGTCCAATTGAGTTCCGAATAGCCTTATGGAGCGAGGATCGTATTCAAGGTTGGACCGAGTCGACGAAATTCAGATCGAGTTAACTGAACAACCACGATCCTCTCCCACGCGTGAATCGTTCAAGACTGGCAGTGCAAAAGCAAACCAGATTGATTACGTGCTTGTTTACGAGAACGAAAGGGATATCTGTGAGCTTGATGAAGAATCTATTCAAGAACGGCGAAAGCGTGCAGGATGGAGATATACGTTTGAACGTTGCCTTGAAAATAGGTTTGGATTAGTTTTGCAGCGCAAGACGGAGGTCATTGACGAGGTAGGTTATTTTCTTTTTTCCCGTGAATAATTTTTGTCAAAGTTTACGTTTTTTTAGAATAAATAATATAAAGATTTAATCTTGCCTAAAAGCGGAGTTCCCATAAAATACTTATCATTTGCTTTGCACAATATAAACCTTTAAAGGAATTTCGCAAATAGAAAACGTTTCACCAAACAGAATGAATCGAGGAAATCTCCGTAAAGAATATGCAAATCACCACGTGTTTGGGTTAAATAAAAAATCCTGTTCGCTTTTAGGGTCTAAAATTCGCAACGAAAACTGGCCGAGTGAAGGAAATGTTAGGGCCTGTCCACACAACACCGGAGAAATGTGAAATCCGCGTTTTCCCTCTGAAACTGTATCGAATATTTACTGTCCACACTACGCTGGAGACATTTGACTGGAAGACTGGTCATTTGTTATTTGTGTCTGACAAAATTTCGGTTAGGGAAATCACATAATTATCGTGATTTCATCGTTTTGGAATGGCTCCGTTTCGAAATTTTTACCGTCCACAGAAAATTTCGAAAGAACATTATTGTACATTACAATTTTCGTGTTGGAATTCCGCAAGGTTCATTAAATCGGCGATCTGTATTGAAAACACAGTTGAAAACGCACTGATCATCATGTCTGCGGTATCGAAGAAAAGAAAAATTCTCCACCAAAGTTTTTATGACTCTCTGCTCCATAATTTTATGGAGCATTATTTGGTGTTCGTACTTTACATTTTAAGGCCATTAGAGGTAATTTTCTATGTTATGAACGGAAACAATACCTTGGAAGCTTGCGAATTTTTGCCGCACTACACGCCATCGTGTCTTGCAGAATGTTAAAGCTCACGTTGGCTTACATGAAGTGGCGTACTACGCACGGTCGCACGGACAATCATGTGACAAACGAAATGACTTATGCTCAATGGGTTACTCTCTATAATTTCCTCAAATGGGGCTCCGCTCGTGCGCCTTCGGAGCGCAGAAGCCCCACTTTTACTCCAACGTTTTGCTCCTCACTCATGACTAACAGGCTAGTAGAGAATGACTTTCGTCGTTGACATTGTCAGATGGTTAGGTCATAACGAACATTACATACAGGATCTCATACTGACTATTCGTCCTTGTAGGATCCAGGAAAAGAACGTCATTTTGTACTGATCCACGCGCCTTGGGATGTGTTGGCACAGAACGCTGAACGGATCAAACTGAAGGTTCCTCTTCAAGTAAACGACGTGGTATTTACAAATTGGCTGGAAGATATTATCGGCACCTCAAGAGTTGAGAAACTGAACAGTAAAAACCCTTTAGTTGTACATGATTCTACTTTGGAAGAAAAGCCCAATTTTTTTATGGCCCCGTTTATGGAAGATCATTTGAACGAATATGTGAACCACGAGGATGAGGAAGGCTTTTTCAGTGGAACGGATCGCAGCTACATTGTTCAGAATTTGCTTCAAAACGCACGCTTTGCAAGGGGGCCAAATGGAGTAGGGCTACAGAAGCTTCTCCTTGATAAGGTCTACATCGCTGGGTACCCACTTCATGATGGGCCGGACTCAAGAGGTGAAGGAGAGGCTCCGAAAAATAATCGACAGAAGTTAAGGGAAGACTGGGCACGATTTGGCAGAAGTCTCAAGTACCAACCGCACGATGCCATCAAAGATTACTTTGGTCATGAAATTGGCCTGTACTTTGCCTGGCTTGGATTCTACACCGCCATGTTGGTTCCACTCGCAATTTTGGGCTTACTCGTGTTTATCTATGGAATGGCGTCAGCAGGTTCCCACATTCCGGTCCGCGATCTATGCAAAGAAGAAAACAGAGGCCGTTGGTACATGTGTCCGCTTTGCGACAAACAATGCAGCTACTGGAATCTGGCACCAGACACTTGCATGTACGCATACATCACGCACTTTTTTGATAACGATGGAACCGTGTTTCTTGCCTTCGTGGCGTCCATTTGGGCCACGCTGTTCCTTGAGTTTTGGAAACGTCGTCAAGCTACCCTTGCTCAGGAATGGCACACAACAGATTTCGAAGGAGACGAAGAACAACTTCGCCCTGAATACAAGACAAGTTTGCCAGATGAGCAATTGCAGTTGTTACTGTTTAAGAGAAACCCCGAGACCGGCAAAATAGAACCAGCGGTATCCAAATTTAAAACGTACCGCAGATATGGCACTGTCATCGGAGTAGTTCTTTTCATGATTCTTCTGGTTCTTGCGGCAGCTATTGGTGTTGTTGTCTACCGTGCGGCTGTTTTTGCCGTCTTGAGCAGCGACGACGACAACAAAGTGCAAAAACGTGCTCGCATTATAACAACGGCAACTGCAGCTTTTCTAAATCTTATAGTAATCATGCTTCTGACCAAAGTTTACATCAAGCTGGCAATCTGGCTGACTGACTGGGAAAACCCACCAACAGAGAGCGCTTATAGAGACAGCTTTACATGGAAAATGTCTTCATTTCAGTTCGTCAACAACTATTCCGCCATATTTTATATCGCGTTCTTTAAATCGGATTTGATTGTGGGGTCCCCGGGAAGGTACAGAAGAGTGTTAGGGAAGTATCGACTGGATGGGTGCAGTGAACAAGGATGCTTTTTGGAACTTGCTGTTCAGCTTTTGATCATCATGGTGGGAAAGCAAATTTTCTTCAATATATTCGAGATGGCAATGCCGTAAGTATTAAGTCATTGGTTTGCAGTCATAAGGGCACACCTTTTAATGTATTTTTCTAATTATTCTGTATGGTAAGCCATGCGAACGACTATACCTCCAATTTTGACGATAACTTGTCCCGGATGCCTGTAAAAAAAAGAACAGTTTAAAAGAGGTTTTTGTTTGGAATTGTCAAGCGATTCAGGGAATTGTGTTGGAATCCATAAAAGTTCTCGTTACGAAGACCAACAAGTGTTGAGATCAAAGTAATCTATAGTCTGCTTAGGCCCTGAAATTTCGTCGACGAAAATGCCAAAATGATTTTATGAATCACGTGCTGTGGGTGATCAGGGATCGTTGAAAAAACTAAAGAATCAAGATTTATTTCAAACCATTTAAGTACAAAGAACATGTCAGCACATAGATTTTCAGGTTGGTTATCGGAAAAAAACGAAAGAAGAGATTGTTGGTCGACTGGGGAACAAGTCAAACGTCGAACTTCACATGGGACGAATTAAATTGCAATGGTGAATTGCAATTCAATGAGTCGATCCAACCGGGTAAAGCTCGACCTTTGGGTCAAACATCAAACTTAATTCGAGTTTAGATTGACCAACCAACATGTTGGTCGATCGATCTAAATTCAATCGGACGAACTCAGTTGACTCAAACGTCGAACTTATCATGAACTTTTTTTTCTATGATTTACATTCCAGAATGGCCGTGGCCGGCTATGCTTATAGCTCTTTGTAACAAAGTAAGTGTTTCATTACATTTCATTAGTCTTTTTCTATATAATTTTCCAGATATTTGAATCTGATAAAGAATCGCCGAAATAAAAAGAATCTAGACGATTGTCCTCAGTACGAAAAAGACTTTGATCTGACGGCATGTGAAAAGCACTACATGTTCTGGGAATATCTGGAAATAGGTAAGATTTAAAGTTATTATAGTCAATTTCAGTTTTGATTCTGTGTATTTCCCCTTTCAAACTATGAAAAAAAAACTATAGCTCCTGCCGGTTTAAAGGTGACACCCTTTTACAATTCTAGCTAGAAGATAGAAAATGAACTTATCAAATCAATTCGTTAGGATTTAGCACTGAATGGAAACGCCGTGTTGTTTTCTCAGACCGAGAAGCCCAAATCAGTAGTTGCAAACTGTTAAGAGAGCCTGACGAAATGCTGAGAAGTATAGTATGATATTGAAAACTCTGTGCCAGGGCGTATGTGTAAGGGCACTACGGAAGCTTATGAGGTTATAGAATCCCAAAAAACTACTTCGTTTCCCCTGTGGGAAGATGTCGCAGAACTCTCAATTCCCTGATACTCTTGAGGCTAATCACCTGAGACTGATTCACATCTTATATAGTATACCGACTTTCGGGGTGGGGGACAGTCCTAGTCTTGGTAAACTCTGGAGATACTTGGTGGAATAAACTCCGGCATGGCCTCGATGGGTCTGGCTGATTTGGTGTAACCTATGACTTTTTTATATTTTTAAACGCTTGTAGTTTTGCAATACGGCTTTGTGACCATGTTTGTGGCTGCCTTCCCCCTCGGTCCACTGTTTGCACTCATAAACACAATCATCGAGATCCGTATAGACGCCATCAAGTTCCTGTGTTACTTTCGCCGACCAGACGTCGCCCGTGTCGAGGACATAGGAGCCTGGTACGACGTTCTCGAGGCACTTACCAGGGCGTCCGTGTTGGTGAACGCATTCATACTGGCATTTACTTCAGAGTTCATCCCCAAACTCCTTTACAAGATCATGTACGCGCCTGATCGCGATTCCTCTGGAGGTGGTACGTTGAAGGGGTATGTTAATTCTACCCTTGCGTTCATTGATTTGAAGACCCTCTACTCGTGGGAAAAAGGCACACAGCCAGACAACCCGAGGGAAAACCTAAATTACACAAGAGACTACTGCAGGTAGGGAAAGTTTCAGCTTTAAATGATTTACAGGAGACAATTTTATTTCTCTCAGCGATATATCCATTAAAGAACCCTTCATAATCATGGAGTAAAGCGTCTTAGAATCATGGAATTCAAAGCGCAGAAACTTCTCCCTTCTTTATGAAAGATGTGAGATGGAAAGAGTGTGTATGAATTGTAAGATCACGCAAAAGAATTTCAGATTTCTTGAATGCACATTGTCAAGATTAAACTGACACTTTCCTGCAAATGTGGTGACGGACACTTAACGGAAAACCTTAAACTTAAAATCGTGACAATGAGACACATTTATATCACTTACCGACCTCCATAAACCGATTTCAAGTTACTTTCCTTTCGCGCATTCATTATCTACCTAATTTACATTATGATCTTTGTGTTTCTTATGTTTCCTGCAACTGAACATAGGTACCGCGGTTATCATGACAACGTCTACCCATACGGCTACTCCAGGACGTATTGGCATCTCCTTACCGCTCGTCTGGCGTTCGTGTTCGTTTTTCAATTCATCGTGTACACCATCACCGGTTTCATAGCCTGGCTAGTACCCGACAGACCTGATGAACTTCAGTTCAAAGCGGAACGAGAGAAGCAAGTCATCAAGACGGTGTTTCAAGACAGCGAAGACTACAGTGACATTGACGAGTACAGTGATAACGATGATGACACGGAGGAATTTGAAGATGCCAAACAATCCCTTCAATCCTTTGAAACTCAAGGGTGATACTTCGTTTCAATTTCAGCTAAACTCCCGTCCAAACCTTAGCCGTACTTGATACCTTAAAATCATGAGCGTAACAGATTTAGTTTTGTTTCAGCTGATGTCGGTTTCTTCTTGTCTTCATCTTGTAAAACTGACGCGATAGGAGCTTTTGGTCGCTTAGCTTAGCTTGTAGCCGTTGGTTGTTGTTTTTATTTATGCGGACTGGTCGGGATATTCTAATTTTCATTGGTTTGTTTAAAAGGACTTACATTTGTAAGACGATAACAATAACCGAATATAAAATGGTAAGTATAACGATTTTGGCTGGTTGAATACTTTTCCTCCATCACCCTTTGCGCGTTCATCCTCGTTCAACTTATCTCCTGTGAAATATATTTTGCTCGCAAGGATCAGGCGCCATTTACAAAATTGCAAATCGCTGATCCCAGAAGTCCTTTTTCCCTCCTCTCTTTTTATCGCGGTCACGCATGCAGGAGATAAATTCAGTCGGAATGAGCTGCGAAGAGCCGACGGCAATAAGGACTATTAGATTTCTGGTGGTGGTGCTATTGCTTANATCGAAGAAAAGAAAAATTCTCCACCAAAGTTTTTATGACTCTCTGCTCCATAATTTTATGGAGCATTATTTGGTGTTCGTACTTTACATTTTAAGGCCATTAGAGGTAATTTTCTATGTTATGAACGGAAACAATACCTTGGAAGCTTGCGAATTTTTGCCGCACTACACGCCATCGTGTCTTGCAGAATGTTAAAGCTCACGTTGGCTTACATGAAGTGGCGTACTACGCACGGTCGCACGGACAATCATGTGACAAACGAAATGACTTATGCTCAATGGGTTACTCTCTATAATTTCCTCAAATGGGGCTCCGCTCGTGCGCCTTCGGAGCGCAGAAGCCCCACTTTTACTCCAACGTTTTGCTCCTCACTCATGACTAACAGGCTAGTAGAGAATGACTTTCGTCGTTGACATTGTCAGATGGTTAGGTCATAACGAACATTACATACAGGATCTCATACTGACTATTCGTCCTTGTAGGATCCAGGAAAAGAACGTCATTTTGTACTGATCCACGCGCCTTGGGATGTGTTGGCACAGAACGCTGAACGGATCAAACTGAAGGTTCCTCTTCAAGTAAACGACGTGGTATTTACAAATTGGCTGGAAGATATTATCGGCACCTCAAGAGTTGAGAAACTGAACAGTAAAAACCCTTTAGTTGTACATGATTCTACTTTGGAAGAAAAGCCCAATTTTTTTATGGCCCCGTTTATGGAAGATCATTTGAACGAATATGTGAACCACGAGGATGAGGAAGGCTTTTTCAGTGGAACGGATCGCAGCTACATTGTTCAGAATTTGCTTCAAAACGCACGCTTTGCAAGGGGGCCAAATGGAGTAGGGCTACAGAAGCTTCTCCTTGATAAGGTCTACATCGCTGGGTACCCACTTCATGATGGGCCGGACTCAAGAGGTGAAGGAGAGGCTCCGAAAAATAATCGACAGAAGTTAAGGGAAGACTGGGCACGATTTGGCAGAAGTCTCAAGTACCAACCGCACGATGCCATCAAAGATTACTTTGGTCATGAAATTGGCCTGTACTTTGCCTGGCTTGGATTCTACACCGCCATGTTGGTTCCACTCGCAATTTTGGGCTTACTCGTGTTTATCTATGGAATGGCGTCAGCAGGTTCCCACATTCCGGTCCGCGATCTATGCAAAGAAGAAAACAGAGGCCGTTGGTACATGTGTCCGCTTTGCGACAAACAATGCAGCTACTGGAATCTGGCACCAGACACTTGCATGTACGCATACATCACGCACTTTTTTGATAACGATGGAACCGTGTTTCTTGCCTTCGTGGCGTCCATTTGGGCCACGCTGTTCCTTGAGTTTTGGAAACGTCGTCAAGCTACCCTTGCTCAGGAATGGCACACAACAGATTTCGAAGGAGACGAAGAACAACTTCGCCCTGAATACAAGACAAGTTTGCCAGATGAGCAATTGCAGTTGTTACTGTTTAAGAGAAACCCCGAGACCGGCAAAATAGAACCAGCGGTATCCAAATTTAAAACGTACCGCAGATATGGCACTGTCATCGGAGTAGTTCTTTTCATGATTCTTCTGGTTCTTGCGGCAGCTATTGGTGTTGTTGTCTACCGTGCGGCTGTTTTTGCCGTCTTGAGCAGCGACGACGACAACAAAGTGCAAAAACGTGCTCGCATTATAACAACGGCAACTGCAGCTTTTCTAAATCTTATAGTAATCATGCTTCTGACCAAAGTTTACATCAAGCTGGCAATCTGGCTGACTGACTGGGAAAACCCACCAACAGAGAGCGCTTATAGAGACAGCTTTACATGGAAAATGTCTTCATTTCAGTTCGTCAACAACTATTCCGCCATATTTTATATCGCGTTCTTTAAATCGGATTTGATTGTGGGGTCCCCGGGAAGGTACAGAAGAGTGTTAGGGAAGTATCGACTGGATGGGTGCAGTGAACAAGGATGCTTTTTGGAACTTGCTGTTCAGCTTTTGATCATCATGGTGGGAAAGCAAATTTTCTTCAATATATTCGAGATGGCAATGCCGTAAGTATTAAGTCATTGGTTTGCAGTCATAAGGGCACACCTTTTAATGTATTTTTCTAATTATTCTGTATGGTAAGCCATGCGAACGACTATACCTCCAATTTTGACGATAACTTGTCCCGGATGCCTGTAAAAAAAAGAACAGTTTAAAAGAGGTTTTTGTTTGGAATTGTCAAGCGATTCAGGGAATTGTGTTGGAATCCATAAAAGTTCTCGTTACGAAGACCAACAAGTGTTGAGATCAAAGTAATCTATAGTCTGCTTAGGCCCTGAAATTTCGTCGACGAAAATGCCAAAATGATTTTATGAATCACGTGCTGTGGGTGATCAGGGATCGTTGAAAAAACTAAAGAATCAAGATTTATTTCAAACCATTTAAGTACAAAGAACATGTCAGCACATAGATTTTCAGGTTGGTTATCGGAAAAAAACGAAAGAAGAGATTGTTGGTCGACTGGGGAACAAGTCAAACGTCGAACTTCACATGGGACGAATTAAATTGCAATGGTGAATTGCAATTCAATGAGTCGATCCAACCGGGTAAAGCTCGACCTTTGGGTCAAACATCAAACTTAATTCGAGTTTAGATTGACCAACCAACATGTTGGTCGATCGATCTAAATTCAATCGGACGAACTCAGTTGACTCAAACGTCGAACTTATCATGAACTTTTTTTTCTATGATTTACATTCCAGAATGGCCGTGGCCGGCTATGCTTATAGCTCTTTGTAACAAAGTAAGTGTTTCATTACATTTCATTAGTCTTTTTCTATATAATTTTCCAGATATTTGAATCTGATAAAGAATCGCCGAAATAAAAAGAATCTAGACGATTGTCCTCAGTACGAAAAAGACTTTGATCTGACGGCATGTGAAAAGCACTACATGTTCTGGGAATATCTGGAAATAGGTAAGATTTAAAGTTATTATAGTCAATTTCAGTTTTGATTCTGTGTATTTCCCCTTTCAAACTATGAAAAAAAAACTATAGCTCCTGCCGGTTTAAAGGTGACACCCTTTTACAATTCTAGCTAGAAGATAGAAAATGAACTTATCAAATCAATTCGTTAGGATTTAGCACTGAATGGAAACGCCGTGTTGTTTTCTCAGACCGAGAAGCCCAAATCAGTAGTTGCAAACTGTTAAGAGAGCCTGACGAAATGCTGAGAAGTATAGTATGATATTGAAAACTCTGTGCCAGGGCGTATGTGTAAGGGCACTACGGAAGCTTATGAGGTTATAGAATCCCAAAAAACTACTTCGTTTCCCCTGTGGGAAGATGTCGCAGAACTCTCAATTCCCTGATACTCTTGAGGCTAATCACCTGAGACTGATTCACATCTTATATAGTATACCGACTTTCGGGGTGGGGGACAGTCCTAGTCTTGGTAAACTCTGGAGATACTTGGTGGAATAAACTCCGGCATGGCCTCGATGGGTCTGGCTGATTTGGTGTAACCTATGACTTTTTTATATTTTTAAACGCTTGTAGTTTTGCAATACGGCTTTGTGACCATGTTTGTGGCTGCCTTCCCCCTCGGTCCACTGTTTGCACTCATAAACACAATCATCGAGATCCGTATAGACGCCATCAAGTTCCTGTGTTACTTTCGCCGACCAGACGTCGCCCGTGTCGAGGACATAGGAGCCTGGTACGACGTTCTCGAGGCACTTACCAGGGCGTCCGTGTTGGTGAACGCATTCATACTGGCATTTACTTCAGAGTTCATCCCCAAACTCCTTTACAAGATCATGTACGCGCCTGATCGCGATTCCTCTGGAGGTGGTACGTTGAAGGGGTATGTTAATTCTACCCTTGCGTTCATTGATTTGAAGACCCTCTACTCGTGGGAAAAAGGCACACAGCCAGACAACCCGAGGGAAAACCTAAATTACACAAGAGACTACTGCAGGTAGGGAAAGTTTCAGCTTTAAATGATTTACAGGAGACAATTTTATTTCTCTCAGCGATATATCCATTAAAGAACCCTTCATAATCATGGAGTAAAGCGTCTTAGAATCATGGAATTCAAAGCGCAGAAACTTCTCCCTTCTTTATGAAAGATGTGAGATGGAAAGAGTGTGTATGAATTGTAAGATCACGCAAAAGAATTTCAGATTTCTTGAATGCACATTGTCAAGATTAAACTGACACTTTCCTGCAAATGTGGTGACGGACACTTAACGGAAAACCTTAAACTTAAAATCGTGACAATGAGACACATTTATATCACTTACCGACCTCCATAAACCGATTTCAAGTTACTTTCCTTTCGCGCATTCATTATCTACCTAATTTACATTATGATCTTTGTGTTTCTTATGTTTCCTGCAACTGAACATAGGTACCGCGGTTATCATGACAACGTCTACCCATACGGCTACTCCAGGACGTATTGGCATCTCCTTACCGCTCGTCTGGCGTTCGTGTTCGTTTTTCAATTCATCGTGTACACCATCACCGGTTTCATAGCCTGGCTAGTACCCGACAGACCTGATGAACTTCAGTTCAAAGCGGAACGAGAGAAGCAAGTCATCAAGACGGTGTTTCAAGACAGCGAAGACTACAGTGACATTGACGAGTACAGTGATAACGATGATGACACGGAGGAATTTGAAGATGCCAAACAATCCCTTCAATCCTTTGAAACTCAAGGGTGATACTTCGTTTCAATTTCAGCTAAACTCCCGTCCAAACCTTAGCCGTACTTGATACCTTAAAATCATGAGCGTAACAGATTTAGTTTTGTTTCAGCTGATGTCGGTTTCTTCTTGTCTTCATCTTGTAAAACTGACGCGATAGGAGCTTTTGGTCGCTTAGCTTAGCTTGTAGCCGTTGGTTGTTGTTTTTATTTATGCGGACTGGTCGGGATATTCTAATTTTCATTGGTTTGTTTAAAAGGACTTACATTTGTAAGACGATAACAATAACCGAATATAAAATGGTAAGTATAACGATTTT